GGTCCCCAAGGACTTGCCAGGCGTCGCCACGGGTGTCACAGAGATGTCCTGGGGCAGGATAGCCCCTCTCCTGGCCACCATCTTGGTGACGTGCTGGGCCCACGCCGAGGACACATCGGCCGACGGCTCGTTGATGTCAAACGCTAAGCCAGCTGCAATGACAACAGGAAAGCCCGGTCGAGGTGGGGGGGATGGGATGATGGGGACCCCGGGGTGCTGCCGAGCTGGCCCCCTCCCCCGGGCACGTACCCACGGGTCCGTCGTGCGAGACGGTGTGCATGCTGAAGGACAACTCCTGGCCCGGGTCACGCAGCAGCTCCTTGCGCTTGGAGAAGGCCTTGGCGATCATCTTGCTCTTCTTGATCCTCTTGGGTTGGTCATCGCTCTGCCCCGTCAGCCTGGGGACACGGTGGGTCAGAGCAGGGACACGGGGTGGCCCAGGCGCAGGGGACACACAATCCCAGGCATCGCACCGGGGGGGCATGGGGACCTTCCCCATCTCCCTCTCCCACTCTGGACAGGGACACCAAGGGCTGGGGACTGGAGGTGTCCCACAAACAGGACAGGAGACACCCGCAAAGTAGGGCAGGCCACCCCATTCCTGAACCACTGTGTGCCGCGAGCCCACAGCTCACGGAGCTGACGGACAAAAGGCTGAGGGTGACCTCCAACACCTCAGGACGTTGGATGGGGCAGGAAGGGCCGCCTGGAACTGGGGTGATCCCCTCAGGTTCCCACCTGCACCAGGTGCGCTTCCAGATGAGCAGGGTGGCCTTGGTCCAGACCCAGGTGCTCATGGAGACACCGGTGCCGAACATGGCGAAGAGGTTGATCTTCTCCACCAGCAGGCTCGGCCGGTTCTTGATCTCGCAGTCCGGGATGGGCTTGTTGGTCTGGGTGGCGATGGTCACGTTGGCCTCGCACCTGCGGGGACAGACGCAAGACGGTGGCCGTAAGGAGGGGGAAACCCAACGACACCCCACAGCTCTGCGGAGATGTGGTGGCAACGCTGGCAGGGGACCTGGGGCTCTCCATTCTGCAACGTCCCCCATTTAAACGCGAGGTGCTGGGATGCCACCAGTGTCCCACTCGCCCTCCCGTCCCCGTCCCACTCACAGGACATATTCCCGAAAGCTGCGCTCCCACTCCGCCTGGTTGAAGAAGTCATAGAAGTGGCAGCCAAAAGTGATGAAGACGAAGCCGAAGGCCAAGAAGCCGAAGATGCCTGGAAGACAAGTGGGACATCCCTCGTTTAGCCAGACCCCAGCGACACTGGGACACAGATGCTGCACCGGGGCCGTGCCACCACCACTACAGCTTTGTCCCCCACTGACTGCAGCCACCCCCCGAAAGGTGGGACGGGGCTGTCTGGGTTCCGGGCGTACACTGTC